CAATAAATTATATCAGATAACCAACGACTCTTTAACCCACAGATTTAGCTCCTTCTTTACGGACTTAAGTATGCACATGTGTTATTGTTGTGACTGAGTTAAATACCTGAGCGCATTCATCCACAATCATATTTCATTTTTAGTAAAGATTTTGAAAAAAAGCAATACGAAATGTTACAGCGACAAGACAACACGTCATCACTATGTCAGCGGCTGACATGTTTTACAGATACAACATTCAAAATGGTGGCTATCGTCGCGATAGCTTAGGTGCTGTGTTTGCTTGTGATAAGGTTAAGTAACTTGTCAGTTGTTATCGGTAATTTTCCGATCAAAATTCAAACATGAGTTCATGTTCTGATGGTTCTTAACGAACCAAAATGATTTCTCAGGGCAAGGGCCAGGCAAGTCGGGCTCGACCAGTTTAAAAATATGTTCCCATGGCAAAGTTAGAAGTGCAGGCTTGCAGTCAATAGATCGAGTAGTTACAATCAATAGATCGAGTCGTTACAGTTAATACATAGATCGAGTCGTTACAGTCAATAGATCGAGTCGTTACAGTCAATAGATCGAGTCGTTACAGTCAATAGATCGAGTCGTTACAGTCAATAGATCGAGTCGTTACAGTCAATAGATCGAGTCGAACCTCGGTCACTCGAGTTGCCCATTCGATGACGATGCTGTCCTGCCTGGTTAATGGTGTATTCATGGATGGACTAAAGCTCAGTAAAGTTGATGTGAGTATCAAACCTTGTGTTAATGCTTGTATGAGTGAGCGCCGGCACATGAATGTCTAGGAAGGAACTTAGCATGAACAGTCATCGGAACCTTCCTTCCAGGACTTATACTGACCATAGGGAAACGTAGACGTGATGATTGTGCAGGTGGTCATTGGTCATTTTCGCCATTCTGATTCTGTTTTAGAATTACATTTTGTACAAATTCATTGAGGTCATCAAATTTCTCCATCGTGCCGCAAAATGATTTCCGAACGGTAGCTGGACAAACCCCACAAAACGAGTCACGAGACGGCCCGGAGACCTTCACGCACATCACGCGAATGGATTTGGCAAGGATACGTAGGTTTGATAATGAACGACGACGCAACCTTTCACACACGTCACTGAAGCTACGTAAATGCCAAATGTGTGGACGTATACGTAGCAATATGGCCATCCGTTGTATGTGAGCGACGGGGATGGCAGAATACAATGTGGGTGTGTACTAGTATGGTAAAAGCCAATGGCGCTGTTGAGAATGTTTCCTTTTAATATCGCACACGTCTGTCTGGAAAAAGAATTAGGTGATTAAACTTGCATCTGAGCATACCCCAAGACGTTAAAAGATGGTACTTGTTGTTACCTTGCCTGCTGTTAATGTATCTTAAAACCTCATTTAATCACACTGTTGAGTTTTAGTTAAGAAATAAAGTTTGCTCTACCTCGATGTGTAGTGTAATAAAACGTTGCTTTGACGTTACAATAGTTCAGGGCGAAACTATACTTTATTACACTACACATGCGGCTAGAGCAAACTTGATTACTTTTCTAAGATTCTGAATTTAAAAATGATCCATCTTTTTTATTGAAGATTGGTTAAAATCAAATCTGTATTAACATGCGGTAAAATGAAAATCGCCCAACAGGCTAACTGACAGGCTGGTCCACTTGATTGCCGGTATACCCCTTAAGTCTAAAGACATATTTACGTTTCAAATATAATACAACACCACTAAAATGGGGTGTTTATTATAATAGGTCCTATTTCCTTATCCGTTCAGGGTGTGGATTTTGAGATTATTTTTTTATAATTAATTTGCTTCAAATTTAATCACATGACTTTGAACAAGTGCATTGTGGGGCCGAGTTAGCATGTAAACATAGGCCGAAATATGGCGTCGACGTGAGACGAACGTGGCGGAGGAAGAGCAACAGCGGTCGGTTTGTTTGACTGCTGTATATTGTATATTGTTTAATGCCGTACGCTGACCAACAGCTAGGTGCACATGATGTGGTTATGAAACTTTCCTTTGTCCTGATTATGATTGTGTGTTGTTTACGCCGCACTCAGCAATATTCCAGCTATATGGCGGTTGTCCGTAAATAATCGAGTCTGGACCAGACAATCCAGTGATTAATATCATGAACATCGATCCACGCAATTTGGATAGAAAACGCGTGCATCAACCAAGTAAACGAGCCTGACCACCCGATCCCGTTGGTCGCTTCTTACGACAAGCGTAGTCACCTTTTACGGCAAGCATGGGCTGCTCAAGACCTTATTCTACCCAGGATCTTCACGCGGACACAATGCTTTATCGCAGGATACAAAATAGTCGGTGCCTTTGATACTTTAGCGAAGCATCTTAGAATTAAAATAAAGACATATTTTACGCACGGTGATGAGGAAGATTTCTTTAACCAATGAAGTAGGCTTAAATTTTTACCTAAACATGCAATCTGAGACGAAATAAGGTGAGACTGTAGAAAGACTTCTAGTATCACTCCGCACTGTATTATCTTAGAGTGATCGGCACAAGCAGTTGAGCGCCAAACTATGCCATGCTCCTAACCAGACACGTCACACTGACGTCATAACTCGCCCCTTCGCCAGTCAAGGCGTTTCTTGCGTTTCTTGACTGGCAGTGGGACGTGTCACTCGTGTTAGGACGTAAACGGTGGGTAAGTTTTCCGCATGTACTTCAGAATTTTGTTAGGGAAATTAAATGAAACAAACATTGTAAATACTTTAAGATTGATGTACAACAGAATACATTTTGAAGGAATCAGGTGCTTGCTTCACACAATATCTACACCCAGACGTTTGTTTAGCCTGTCACCGGGGATAACAAACGTCTGGATGTAAACATTCATACTTCGTTTCAACTGAAAAGCTTGTTCTATTTTAATCAGTATATTGCATAATATATGCTTGTAAGTTTCATCTCTGAACTAATAACAATTATTTACAACTGGGACTGAAGACTTTATGAGATTTTTCTAAATCTGTTCTGTCAAGTGTCGGATGCGTTTTTTCGCTCATATTTTTAAAACGTTGTTCTGCATCATAGAATGGCCAAATGTGTCAGCCATATTATTTTTACACTCAAGGCTTGCAGCTTTGTTCTTCGAATCCGGAAAATATTATCAGGAACAAATGTATTTTTGCATTGCTTTTGAAGAATTGCAAGGAAATGTAGAATATATAAGAGAAAATGTGATCCTCGTTATTGTATGAGTAAGTTAGAACGGACGTTAAATGTGAAAACAATTTGGCGCATGTCACACGGGCAATCGGCATTTCAGTCTTATCACTTTATAGAGCCACGTGTTTATTACCTTCTTTACACAACCAAACACCCTATCAAACATCTTGTATTGCCGGCGACAGTTTCTGCCTCAGATAGTAAGCTGATCTGTGATGGGTGTACTGCCGCCATCGCTTGGAATGCTGAATTATGACAGTGTTGCAAAGAATTTTCCTGACACTGAATTACCACTGTGTTGCACACGCGCGTAGTGAAGTAGACCTGTTGCTCTTTTACATTAATTGTATATCATCATGAAAATGTCGTCACTGAAATATTAATCTGTAGCATGTCGTATAGCGACGTTTGTAATACTGTGTAGCCCGAGACACCAAACGACGTAGAATGCACCAGTTTCAGAGTCTAGTTAAGAGAGTGTTTGTATTGGGGAGGGTGGGGACTAAAACATCAGGCAAAGTCACTTGGAACAACAAATAATTTACGATAGGTCGCAGCACTCTACATTTAGTAGCCTGTTATCATCAATTGGCAAAGGCAGTATGTACACAGAGAAACCATCAAGACAGTTGTCGATTTGACGATGTAACAATTGTGTTAAATGCCCATTGTCCACAGACGTTGAAATGCACGAGAAATATATTTTCCTCCAGAATTACACTGGTGGGCGTCCTATCCTGGTCAAAATATATATAACGATGTGCATTGATTCTCACTCGCAACAAATACCTGAGTATAATTTAAATATACAGTAGTAATAACATAGCAGGCAATGAAAATTAGAAAACAACGTTCAGTATTTGACCTGTATGAGCGAAGTAGGTTTGCTATTCACAGTGTTGATACTCAATTGCAGATATTATGCAACAACGCACCAACTTGCGGGGACCATTTCATTGTCATAACGATTCCACCCACAACTAACGAAGTCAGACTAAAATACTAATCATTCCATAATTGGGAATTAAGGGTAGGTAGCTGATGTAATACCATGTTGTAAAGTTCCAAAATAATAAATGCACATATTCTGTGTATTCTGTGTACAGCAATATAAACTAACATGTTTAGTCCTTAGTCCTCATAATGGTAACATATAAAACCCTAAAACTGACATGGCTACTAGCCTAGTCTTTATGACATCTGAACTATTGGGATGTTTGGCAAGGACTATAGGACGAGTGCCAATTTCTATCGCTGATGTAGTAGTGTTCATTTATGTTGTTACTGTTGTATGATTATATTATTATGACAACAAAATAACAATCTATTCAGTTCCTGCAACTTCAACCAGAGAAGAGATATATCTCAGCAGTTAGCACATAGGCAGTGTGCAGCTTAGACTAATTCAGGAAGTGATTCAATAAATAAAAAAATATAATAAATAATAAATATATGTGATTTCCAAAATTTGTCAGTCACCATGCTATGGTTTATTAATAACATATAAGTCACACATTTGTTGAAAGGCAAAAGCTTCTCTGAGGCCAGTAGTTATAATGTTTACCTGCAATATATAGTTTTCTGAACAGCATATATGGGGGTTTTGGGTGGTGGGTAGCCTAGTGGTTAAAGCATTCGACCTTCGCGCGGAAAAAACAGGATCGATTCCCCCACATGGGTACAATGTCCGAAGCCCATGTCTAGTGTTCCCCGCCCAGATATTGTTGGAATATTGCTAAGAACCTGTAAAACCCAACTCACCCAACCCAACTGAACAGTATATTTTGTGTTTCAGCCTCGAGCGACTCGAGTCAGGGAGAAAGGGCTGCACAGATGACGACAGTGACGACCCATGGTAGGTGGGAGAAGCCAGCAGGTGGTAGATACTGTCACTGTCCAACTTTGTACGAGATGAGGTCACATTAACATGTAACAAATATAAGCCTGAAAGTTCACTCCAAAAACCTTCATATGAACAGTCTCTACAATAACAAGCTGATAAATGTAATCTCTTATTATCCTAATAATTCGTAACAAGTCAATTGTATTGCCAGTGCCACCTTAGACTCAATCCAACAAGCCTGTACAGACGCGCGGCTCAGATGAACAGCAATCTCAATGTTTGTGTTTTATTTGTGATAGAATCTAGTCGTTTGAGTGATTTGTTAGTCGCTAGACGACCTTATATTTATACCTCTACTAATATGAATGGTTTTGAAATTGTATTGATCAGTCAAAATTTTAAATACACAAACTTTGTCGAATATCTTGTATGTATAATGCTTATTTAGTTTGCATTGTTTTCTGAACAGCATGTTCTGTGTTTCAGCCTCGAGCGACCCGAGTCGGACCACGAGGACACCAGTGACGACCACAAAAAAGCCTGCTACACAGGGTAGGTAGGAGAACCCAGCAGGTAGAAAGCCCACACTTTAATCCCCCCAACAATTAACAAGTTGGGGTATAGACCCGTGGGGGTTCTGACTTGCGTCTTGCATGTCATCGTATCCCAGTTGTGTCGATCGGTGCTCATGTTGTCAACCACTGGACTGTCTGTCTGTACCAGACTCCGCCATCTTATTGCTGGACTACTGCTGAGTGCGGCGTAAAACAACAAACAAACAAACAGACTGACATACTCCAATGTCATGTCTTATAAGATCTATCTAATATTTCCAAACAACAACTGTACTGACAGTATCATCTCATAAAGCTCAGTCCATCAAACGTTGACACTCGCCAGCCACACACAGAATAATGTTACAACAACTGGATGTGACAGAAAGATTTTAAACATTGGCTACATAATCCTTGATTACATGAACCAGCTGTCGTCCTTCCCCTTGATCCTTGTGTTGTCAGCCATGTTGGAAGTGGTTGATGACGTACCGTGTCACGTGTCACCACGTTGAGGTGTGAACCATGTAGATGTATGACGAAGATGTCTGGAAGTGTACAGAGTTTACTTTGTGTTACAGCGACTCCATCACCAGCAGACTGCGAGGACCTCTATGACGCCAGCGAAGCCGGGAACCTGGAGGAGGTGAAGCGGATCCTGTCTCAGGGCGTGGACGTCAATTGTAGGTGGGGAGGGTGGAGCGAGACACCGGTGATGGAGGCAGCATACAGGGGACACAGAGACGTGGTGGAGCTCCTGGTGAGTGAAGGGGCCGATGTGTCACTGGTGGACAGGGACGGTTACAACACCCTTCACTACGCCAGTTATGGAGGACACTTGGAGACGGTGAAGTTTGTGCTGTCTCTGCACGTGGTGGACATCGACGCCAGGGACAACTACGGGCAGACGGCGGCCGACCTGGCGAGATCCGGGGGACATACGCGAGTGTTGGATCTCCTCGTGTCCCGCGGCGCTCAGTGACGTCAGTGTCGTGTTTGTGTGGACGGTGGGGGGAGACCTGACAGTGACGTGGTGTGCCGTTCACGTCGTCGTGTGTACATATGTCTTTATTTACGTGAAACTGTTTGTTGTTTTTGGAGATGAATAAAACTTGTAAAAACTTTGTCAGACATTTTGTCATTTGTTGTGTTTGGAACTTCGCATCATCAGGTAAGAAAATTGTTAACTGAGTGTAAATAGAGATGATGTGTGATTTGTATGTAAGCACCGCACCTCGTGATATGTTCATGCATGTCGTCATATGTTTCTGTGCTAGTTTTACGCCATAAGTTTGTAATTAATCGTGAAAAACACAAAAAACCTGTTTGTTTACATCTCGCTGCACTCGGTGACGTCAGACCGAGACGAGGTTCGCCCAGCTGACGTGGCGCCAAATGTACAATGACAGTGACGTCACACTGTCGATGACGTCACGGCATTCCGGCTTAGGTCTAAACACTAAAGCTGCCTGCTGTTTTTTCGGCTAAATACGATATCAGTAATTCACAGGGCAGCACAATGCTGGCTTCGCGATATATGCAAGTACAGCACAGGCCTCATGTGGACGATATAGATTAACAAATGGAGATGTGTTGCATATTATTGCTGCTGAAATTTAAAAAGAAATATTTCTGTTTGGCGAGATATTTATTTTCTCTCTCCCATTTCACCATTTCATTCAAGCTACTTCCCAGCGGGTGACACCTTCTTTACACTCTCGTCTTACCACTGACCAGATTCCCAGATGAATTCAGAGCTATAGATAGGGTTTGGGTTATTTGTTGTTTTTCACCCAGGGGCAAGATGCCAGAGGGATATATATGTCCCTCCTCTTCAAACCTCACTTTGAAGTCGAATAAAATTCAAAATACATCAGACACGCAGATACACTTCACAGTTTTGTATACTGTGAACTTTGCGCCATATTAGATAGTGTTTACAAAATCACGTTTCACATGTACCGGTAATGAGACGCCTGTAACATTACGCGTATTTCAAATTTAGCTGTGATACATACATCCTTGAATTCCTCATACATTTTAGAATCAAATGACACATGGTCTCTGTCACCAATACAAAGTGCCGAGATCAAATCAAGCAAAATAAGTTAGGTGTGAAAACAACTCTGTGCTCGAAAAACTGCACTTGTTTGAAATGTAAACAAAGCTAAATACATATTTAACATTGTAGCATTTTCCCCTTTTTTAGCTATCCATTCGTCTATTCGTTCAGAATATGCATGGGAAGAGAATTGTAGGAAGAATTAGGGAATTAAAAATAGATACATTGCTATGGTGTGATATTTTTCAACAGAAATTTCTTGGGAGTGTCAAAGTTAATATTATAAGTTCATATAAACAACTTCCATGAATAGCGGTTTCATTTTATTTTAAAACTTTAACTGAATTTATTACTTTAACCAAATGGATATTTTGCGTTAAAATATACGCACACATTTCCAGGAGAATTGTCTTGATCTTGGAATAGTTTTTTTAGGTCGTTTGATAAACACAACAGTGATATCTAACGATTCGCAGGTGCGCGTTGTCACAAACGATTTACAAATTATTCCTCTCGTTTTGTATTATACAACCAAAATGTTCATCTTTTTCTAAATATTGTGATCACAGAATATTAAACTAATTACTTTATTTCTCCAAGAATTGTAAAAAGTGATTAGGGGAGGTAAATATATATTAATCAAACTACCAGTGTCGTCTTATTCAGATGCTGTCAAAGATATAAAACCAGCCATGACATCAAATAGAACGGTGTCATGTTTTTAGTATTTCATTACATTTGATGACAAGGCTAGTACTCAATTAATAATGGTGCAACATAAGCCAAATTACACTTGACCAGTCAGAAAAATGTTGTGATCTAAGGACTAATTTACAGCTTAGATAGGGCCATTCATTTTGCTATTACTTCTTTTTTTATTAAATAAGTTTCATCATTACTTACGGTAATATAAGGGAGTATACAGTTTCAATATCGATATTTGTGTTGGAATAGTTTGGTTACTCGTGAACAAAATACCACGAAAATATACTGTCCTTACCCACAGCTAATTCTCACCAGGTGACCTGAGTTTAAATAAACTGGAGCTAAGCATAGCTGAGTTATGCCCCTTTTCTTTTTACGTGCGTAACCTCTCTGCCGCCTTTTGACATCATAGAGAAAAATCAGTTTTCGTCATTTACGGCAGGCTACTTTTTGCATTGAATGTATGGCAGACAGACAGACACACAGACAATTTATTCAATAAAATCCACTGGCCCAAAATACATACATATGCACGAATACATAAAGCCTGCGCAAAATGACATTTACATTATTTACATTTTTTTTTCCTATAAATTCGCAGTGGATTATTTACTATTGACCCTAAGTTGATGAGCTTTGGATAAGAAAAATATATATTTTATATAAGGTATCATATGCATCTGAGGAAATAATAGAGATAAAGTTATGCTGAAGGTTAGAGGTAATGTATTTATCTAAAAGTGCATTACCGGAGCTGTAGGATTTACAAATTAATAATAAGTCTTTCATCATATAGTTAGGCATGGTATCTTCCAGTATTTACTGCTATTGGAAAGTTACTTAAAATCCTTTTTAAGTAAGATGGAAGTGGTGAATTTAAGTAATATTAAACATTTAGTAGCGATTTAAAATGTTTATAGGAATAAGTCAGATAAACTGTTCAAATTTAAAATCCAGGTTTGCCGCAAGTTGTCAAATAGTCTCTGTTTAAACATGGAAATAAAAACAATGTTATCCCCAAATTCTTGTGCTATCCCTGCATATCCAAATCCAAATCGGAATAAAATATTTTTAATGTGTGTGGCCCAGGTGGTGCGACCTGAATCATCCAGAACAGCTAGCATCTTGTAACACTGATATATGGTAGTCTCTCTGGGCCCAGGTGGTCCAGGTGGTCCAGGTGGTCCAGGTGGTGCGACCTGAATCATCCAGAACAGCTAGCATCTTGTAACACTGACATGGTAGTCTCTCCGGGCCCAGGTGGGTCAGTGATGGGAAGAAGTGGGTCAGTGATTGGGAATGATGGGTCAGTAATTGGGCGTGATGTGGAGCGGTGGGTCAGTGATGGGGAATGGTGGGTCAATGATTGGAAGTGGTGGGTCAGTGATGGGGAGCGGTGGGTCATTGATTGGAAGTGGTTGGTCAGTGATGAGGAGTGGTGGGTCATTGATTGGAAGTGGTGGGTCAGTGATAGGGAGTTGTGGGTCAGTGATAGGGAGTGGTGGGTTAGTGATGGGGAGTGGTGAGTCAGTCATGGGGAGTGGTGGGTCAGTGATTGGAAGTGGTGGGTCAGTGATTGGGAGTGATGGGTCAGTGATTGGGCGTGGTGGGTCAGTGATGGGGAGTGGTGGGTCAGTGATAGGGAGTGGTGGGTCAGTGATTGGGAGTGCTGGGTCAGTGATGGGGAGTGGTGGGTCAGTGATTGGAAGTGATGGGTCAGTGATAGGGAGTGGTGCATCAGTGATGGGGAGTGGTGGGTCAGTGATGGGAAGAAGTGGGTCAGTGATTGTGAGTGATGGGTCAGTGATTGGGCGTGGTGGGTCATTGATTGGAAGTGGTGGGTCAGTGATGGACTGAGAATACTTCCAACCAAACGTCAGTGATGGGCAGTGGTGGGTCAGTGATGGGGAATCGTGGGTCAATGATGGGAAGTGGTGGGTCAGTGATCTGGAGTGGTGGGTCAGTGATGGGGGGTGGTTGGTCAGTGATGGGAAGAAGTGGGTCATGGGTCAGTGATTGGTAGTGATGGGTCAGTGAATGGGCATGGTGGGTCAGTGATGGGGAAGTGATGGGTCAGTGATGGGGAATAGTGGGTCAATGATTGGAAGAGGTGGGTCAGTGATGGGGAGAGATGGGTCAGTGATGGGGAGCGGTGGGTCAGTGATGAGGAGTGGTTGGTCAGTGATGGAGAGCGGTGGGTCAGTGATAGGGAGCGGTGGGTCAGTGATAGGGAGCGGTGGGTCAGTGATGGAGAGCGGTGGGTCAGTGATAGGGGGTGGTGGGTCAGTGATGAGGAGTGGTGGGTCAGTGATTGGGCGTGGTGGGTCAGTGATGGGGAGTGATGCGGAGCGGTGGGTCAATGATGAAGAGTGGTGGGTCATTGATTGGAAGTGGTGGGTCAGTGATGGACTGAGAATACTTCCAACCAAACGTCAGTGATGGGCAGTGGTGGGTCAGTGATGGGGAATCGTGGGTCAATGATGGGAAGTGGTGGGTCAGTGATCTGGAGTGGTGGGTCAGTGATGGGGGGTGGTTGGTCAGTGATGGGAAGAAGTGGGTCATGGGTCAGTGATTGGGAGTGATGGGCATGGTGGGTCAGTGATGGGGAAGTGATGGGTCAGTGATGGGGAGTGGTGGGTCAGTGATGGGGAGCGGTGGGTCAGTGATGGGGAGTGGTGGGTCAGTGATGGGGAGTGGTGGGTCAGTGATGGGGAATGGTTGGTCAATGATTGGAAGAGGTGGGTCAGTGATGGGGAGAGATGGGTCAGTGATGGGGAGAGGTGGGTCAGTGATGAGGAGTGGTTGGTCAGTGATGGAGAGCGGTGGGTCAGTGATAGGGAGCGGTGGGTCAGTGATTGGGAGTGGTGGGTCATTGATTGGAAGTGGTGGGTCAGTGATGGACTGAGAATACTTCCAACCAAACGTCAGTGATGGGCAGTGGTGGATCAGTGATGGGGAATCGTGGGTCAATGATGGGAAGTGGTGGGTCAGTGATCTGGAGTGGTGGGTCAGTGATGGGGGGTGGTTGGTCAGTGATGGGAAGAAGTGGGTCATGGGTCAGTGATTGGGAGTGATGGGTCAGTGAATGGGCATGGTGGGTCAGTGATGGGGAAGTGATGGGGAGTGGTGGGTCAGTGATGGGGAATGGTGGGTCAATGATTGGAAGTGGTGGGTCAGTGATGGGGAGCGGTGGGCCAGTGATGGTGAGTGATGGGTCAGTGATTGGGAGTGGTGGGCCAGTGATAGGGAGGGGTGGGTCAGTGATGGAGAGTGGTGGGTCAGTGATTGGGAGTGGTGGGTCAGTGATAGGGAGCGGTGGGTCAGTGATGGAGAGTGGTGGGCCAGTGATGAGGAGTG